CTTTATCACATTTACTGCTTAGAAGTCGTCAGGGAGGAAGCAAAAAGGAGGCGAAATGGAGAGGATGGGATGTGAAGGGAAGGAGAAGAGCGAATAGCAGCATCTGTTGTGCAGTTCACACCGTAACTGCCTGTGGAAGAATCTAATAACGGCCCACTGCATCAGAGCACATTATATTCATCTCTATAAAGCTCAGCGCTGGGTGGCGGATGCCATGCGAATTCCCATGGAGGTACTAAAGGAACCAGCCTCAAAACCCCATAAACAGCTCACTCATAAAACACATTCTATTTTAAAAGCACCATTTCAGTAATGCGCCATTAGTAAGACTCGTAATCAGGCCGCTGCATTTCCTATCTGCCACGTGTGATGTGTGTATGTGAGCACTGGTAATCTACATCACTGCAGCGCTCTATCAGAGGCCGGATTTGTTTTTTACCCACAAATCACACAGGAAGAAAGTGGTGGCTAATGCAATAACTGAGTCTGAGTAGTTATGGGAGCGTGTGTGAGAGAAAAAAGGCTGTTGGGTAAATGGTCTTCGGGCAGGGAGTGAGAAGAAGAGCAACGTTTTCGTTAGTCATGCTTTGTGTTTCTCTCTCCTTCAGTTTCATCTTCTAAATCTCGTTTTCTCTCTTTCACTGGTTTATTGGGAGGGTAGTAGCTTTTAAGTGGGGTCCTCCTGTCTGTCTCCCCCAAGATGACACTTAGACTCTGGCCTCGCACGACTTTAATAAGTCCTGTTAAATATATAGTAAAAGACTGGCAGCTCTGTTCGCTAGATATTACCTGTAAAAAATATGGTGGCAATGTTTCAGGCATGATAGAAGAAATTTTGGTGCTTGTGAAGTTTATCTAACTATACATTTATTTATTTATGTTAACTGATCATATGTTAATATTGAACTGCTTGAAAACACTTTATTTTGAAAGGGACTGATAACTACCATTATTTTACTTTTTATTCGATTATTTTATTTTTTAATTTTATTATTTAAAAAAATCACATATATTTAATGTACACTAGCATTCAAAAGTTTTTTTACAACTTTTATTTAGCAAGTATGCATTAAATTGGTCATGAGTGGTGGTAAAGACTTGTATACAGTTACAACATTTTTCAAATAAATGCTGTTCTTTTGGACTTTCTATTCATGAATGAATCCTGAAATAGTGTATCACTCAACAAAAATACTAGCTACTTTCAACATTGATAATAATAATATGAAATGTTCCCTGAGCACCGAATCATCATGTGACTTTGAAGACTGTGCCATCACTGGAATAAATTACATTTTAAAGTATAGTAAAATAGAAAACAGTTATTTTAAATTGTAATAATTTTTAACAATATTACTGTTTTTGCTTTATTTTTTTATCAAAGAAATGCATATATGGTGAGATTAAAAAACATTTAAAACCATTTTAATCCCCAAACCATTTTTAATGTTAGTTATACTGTTAACTTGACACTCAATGTTTCTTAAATCTTTTACAAAATATTTTAATGCAGCATTTTTACATTAATTTTCCTATAAAATTACCTTTTTAAGTTAAAAAAAATAGTATTTGAGTTATGTACAAGCATTTTTTGGACTCGTTCGTTTCAAATGGGTTTAACAATTGGGTGTTTCTCTACAATGTAGATAAATGTTTTCAAGCAGAATACTGCAAAGATCATTGAAGTTAGGTGGCATGTGTGAATAGATAATATACAGTACCAGAAATATTTGGCATTCTGTGTAGAGAAAACAGACTGTGAGAGCCTGGCAGACAGCGAGATTGCATTAAATCCTGTACATTAGAGGATATCAGCTGAATTTTCTTTCAGGCTCTGTTGAGAGAGTGAGTTTTGTGGTGTGGGAAGAATATTGTAAATATTCACCCCCTCCATAACAATGAATAGCTTGAAACTTTCTTAATAATAAACAATTTTTCATGCAAAGTTTGTGAAAAATGTTTTGGTGAAAGTCTTGAAAAATGAATGAAGTGTCAGGCCCTGGGTGGTGTAATTCTTCACTGATATTATCATTATGATGTTTGTGCTTGGATCAGTTTAGGATGAGCTGCGTCTAGTGACTGATAACCAAACAATCAGCATTCATCCTGTATTTCATGATTAAACTGAACCTCTAGTGTGGTGTCCTCCTTCGTTTCACTTTAATTGGGAACGGCAAACAAAGAAACAAGGACAATTGCAATAATTCTCTTTAACGTCATGGCCTTATATACAGTGGGTACGGAAAGTATTCAGACCCCCTTAAATTTTTCACTCTTTGTTATATTGCAGCCATTTGCTAAAATCATTTAAGTTAATTTTTTTTCCTCATTAATGTACACACAGCACCCCATATTGTTTAAGGGGGTCTGAATACTTTCCGTACCCACTGTATCTGTTGAGTCATGTTGTCAATTTGTAGACTGACCCGGAAGGCTAATTCACCATGGATTCTTTTGGAAATTCACTCTGTGGTGAACATTAAAACCGTTGGAAACCATTTATACACTGCCATTCGAAAGTTTGTGGTTGATACAAGTTTTAAAATGTTTTTGAAAGAAGTCTCTTATGCTTACCAAGGCTGCATTTATTTGATCAAAATATGGTAAAAACAGTCATATTTTGAAATATTTTTACAATTTAAAATCACGGTTTTCTATTTTAATATATTTTAAAATGTAATTTATTCCTTTGATGGCGAAGCTGACTTTTCAGCAGCCATTACTCCAGTCTTCAGTGTCACATGATCCTTCAGAAATTATTCTGATATACTGATTTGCTGCTGAAGAAACATTTCTTATTTATCAGAAATGTATTTACTGCCACTATTGACTAATTAATGCCTCCTTGCGGAATAAAAGTATTTAGTATTTCCTTTAAAAAAAAATTAATTGGTCCCAGACTTATGAACAATGTAAGTTGGTATGTAAGGACTGCAAATACCATAAGGTTGTATGTTACTGTTAAAGTGCCCCTATTATGGGTTATGAGAGGTTCATATTTTGTTTTTGGGAGTCCCCAACAACAGGTTGCCATGCATGCAAGGTCAAAAAACACTTTCATTTTCTTATAATATGCATTTATTTTTACATTATTTGCTCAACGACTCCCAAACGATTCACTCAACGATTAATTTTTCCAAACCCCTCCTTTGCGTGACGCTAATCTGCGGTGATTGGTCCGATTGGTCTCATTTTCATTTCATCATGCCTGTAATGCCTGATAAAGCAGCGTTTGTGAGCGCATTGCTGCTTTGTGTACAGCATCACCGGGGAAACCGCTATTTTATCCCTCCAAAAGCATAGTGGCAAATAATGAATTTGCATTTTCATTCAGACCAACGCGATAATCAAGTCTTCCCAGGTCTGCGCTCGCAACAAGTGGGTGGGCAATATGCTAATGTTTCATGTTGATGTCAACATGAAACGGCTTGGGATTCGTTTGTAAACAAAGCAGCACTGCGCTCACAAACGCTGCTTCATGAAATGGTAATGAAATCGACCAATCGGACCAATCACCGCAGATTTGGTTTGGAAAAATTAATCGTTGAGCGAATCGTTTGGGAGTTGTTGAGCAAGTATGGTAATGCATTATAAACGCATTTATATAAATGCATATTATAAGTCAATGAAAGTGCTTTTTGACCTTGCATGTATGTCAACCTGTTGTTGGGGACTCCCAGAACCTGAAAGGTAATTTTCAAAAATCCATAATAGGGGCACTTTAATGCAGCTTATTCACAGCTCTTTTTTTGAACACAGTGGTTTTCATATTCACATTTGAGGTGTGATTTTTATGCATTTTAGAACAAAAAAGTGTTCTCTATAAATAATGTTGACCGCAGACTTTATTTTATTCTAAATCAAAAACACCCTCCTCCATTTTTTAGCACTACAAACTAAACAGCTCTGTTTTTGTATGTTGGGCGCTTCATGTTGGAGTGGTGTTGTACAGGTCTGAAAACACTAAGGTCAGCAGCTTTCAGGGACCATCTGTGAAATTATAAAACAGCCCCACTTATATAGCCTGAATCAGTTCACAGCGGGCAAACTGAGTGTAAACAGATGGGCGGAGCCTATCAGGTTGTAGGCTATATGGGAAAACTGACAGGTATTGCAGTTTCAGTTGAAATGATGCCAGGCCGGGACCCTAAATGCACTCTGCTCTCCACTGCTGTGCTGATTTCCTGCCTGTTCTGGCTAAAGCAATAACACAAACATGGATCCAGGATCAGCCTCCCACACTTTTAAGCCTCTCCAGTCTACTGTTCGAGGAAACGGCACGCTGTTCTGGGTTCAGCGGGCAGGTGAGAGCCGAACTGAAGCGAATGCAGTGTTCAGAGGTGTGAAATAGAGATGGGTTTGTCTCACTGGGCTGGAAATTGGCTCCCGCTGCGAACCCCAGTCCTGCTGTCCACTCATCCATCTCATATTTCCTTCTTTTGTTTCGCTCTCTTTATCCTTATTTGTGTGCAGACTACAGATCTAGTCCTTTTCCCAACCGTCGTTCTGTTTTTTGCCTCGTTTCGTTTTGGTTCTGCGTCCTAAAGCTTTCGTTTCTTTTTTTAACTCAAAGCCGCTCTCGTTTTACAGAGCCGAAGATAAATGGATCACCTGGGGTAGAGAACTTTGTCTACCACTGTTAATTGAGCAGATTTGTTTTCTGTTAGGCTGCAGATAACTATTCTTTTTCCTGTAGATGTCAGATGAATGGGAAAAGACAGAAAATGAGAGCAAGGTAAGGGTGAGGCGAAGCGCTCTCGTGGGTTATCAGTAGATATGTTGGCCGTGGATGAGCGCTGGCAGGCTCAGTTATCCTGAGCCGTAATCACATTTGGAAGATTGACCCGAGGTGGAACTCAGAACTCGGGAGAACGTTCCGGAACTCGGTGCGGGGGCATCTGTCACTTTCTCTGAATGATGTGCCATTGGCTGCCACATTGTTGGATGAGATGTATTGGGCTTTGAGCGGGGAGGGCAGTCTGCTTTTATGAATACACTAGAAAACATTCATCTGAAGCTGCTTGCTCTCGCAGCTCGCATACCGAAGCGCTTTCCGTGATCATATGCTCATTTTATTAAGCCCATTAAATAAAAACTCTAATGCAATTCTGTGTAGATAGCCGTTTGTCTGAAGGACTGCCTGTGGGTCTTTATTTAACCCACTCTTAAATCTCTAATGACATCTTATTACATTTACATGCTAATTTGTTCATTTTCTCCTTCATTTACCCTGTTATGGCCGCATATCGGCCATTCAGAAATAAACTACGGTCATTTTAGTATTAGAAGACTTATTATCCACTTCATGCTGACTAAAGAGGATCAGAGCTGTGGTTTATTTACGCCTATGTTTTGTGAGTTTTAAATAAAGTATTGACCATATGCAGGAAAAATAGCTGCTTTTTCATAATACTGTATTTTTTTATATTCCATATTGCTTGAGCACATGAACAGCTTACTAAAACAACTGCTGAAATTTCATCTTTTTATTCAAATACTTGACATTTGTGTATTTTTCCCCAAACCTCAAGGATTATTGACTGAAGTGGTCACGTCCTCTGTGTGCCTGTACTTTTATTGATTAGGATGACAGCATTTTTGATATTCCCAGAAAATTTGCAGCATAAAGCACTACTTTTTCCTTTAAATGATGAGTCCATCTCTCAAATTTCCCATTTATTGAGGGAGTGGAGTACATCTGCTCATCAATAGTACAGTATAAACCAGGGGTGCCCAAACTCGGTCCTGGAGGGCCGGTGTCCTGAAGAGTTTAGCTCCAACCCCAATCAAACACACCTGAACAAGCTAATCAAGCTCTTATAGGCATACTAGAAACTTACCGGCAGGTGTGTTGAGGCAAGTTGGAGCTAAACTCTGCAGGACACCCGCCCTCCAGGACCGAGTTTGGACACCCCTGGTATAAACAGTATATACAGTATATAAAGAGGAAGTAGAACTGAAGCAAAGGCACTATGGCTGTCATTTTTGGGGAGGAAATGACACCGACACGCTCACCCACACATACATATCACATCACAGATATGCCTATTTGTGAACACACTCCAGCTAAAACCCATAAAATGTACACACACACAAATCACTCGAAAAAAATTTATCAATATTGGGTGTTTCTTCAACTATGGACACTTTTGGGCCTGTGGACATCTAGAAAATAAATTATTTTGTCGACTAGCAATGTCTAACAGTGGATATGCATCACAAGATTTTTGTAATTTTTCTGAAACACCAATCATATTTCTAAAATATCAAAATGTAAAATATCAAAAGTAACAAAGTAAAAGTAAACATACACACAATTTATCATTTGAGCTGTGGTGGAAATTATTTAAGAAAAAATAAATAATATAGACAAAAATTACATAAATGTCCTGTGAGATGCATTTCCTCTGTTGGACGTTGTCAGTAGACAGAATACCTATAGTTAAATTGTATTTATTTATTTATTTTTTTTTATTATTTGCATGTTGTTTTATTTCTTTGTTTGTTCACACTTTATTTTAAGGTCCAATTCTCGCTATTAACAAACAATTAACTACGACTTTTGCCTCAATAAACTCCTAATTTGCTGCTTATTAATAGTTAATAGTGAGAATTGATCCCTATACTAGTGTTCCATTCATTTATTTTTATTTTACAGATATTAAATTTTTTTTATGTTACATTTTCGAACTATGATAAAAGCAAAGTAAAAAAAGGTCAAATGTTTAAATGTGCCCTTTCATATAACAACAAAAGTTGAAGTATAATTTTGAAGTATGTTAGTTTGAATAAAAATCAATCCCTGGACATAAAAGCACCCATAGTTTGAAGCAACATCTAACTACCCACTCACTAGCATATGCACATTGCCTTTGTCTCTCACACACTCGAACTCACACACTTCAGCCTCCCCCACACAAACACATCACCTCTTACGCGGATGTATCTACTGTCGTTCTTGAGTGAGAGCTTGAAATGAGATAGAGATGCTCCCGAGGACGAGAGTTTGTTTGAGTGCCTGAGAGTTTGTGAGCGAGACGGAGAGTTTGTGTTAGTGGCTCTGAATCTCTTTAATATCCGTGAAGGGGGGATGAAATCAGGCAAAATAAGAGGAAATAGCACAAGCAGAATGGTGTGATGGTGAACTTGGATTATATCTATCCATGTGTTGCTCCAAGCTCTCTTTCATCTGCGTGAATAGCCTTGAGGTCAGACGGCTGTCTGAGACGCTGACCTCTCCATGCTCTGGGATTCTGAAGGAATGTTGTCTCTTTTCAATAATCATTTCCTCCGGGGCAGATGGAATTATTACATCCCAATGCAACATTTTACACAGCACTGCAGGACTCAGCAGCTGGTAAAATTCTCACATAGACAGACAGCCATCCAGACAGAATGAAAATGTTTTTCACCCCTGAGGGGAAATTTTGTACAAAACATCTGTTTACAAGTGCAAAAGCTGTACACAAGACAATGTTTATGTTGAGGATACTTCGATTTGGATTTTGTTTTGTTAAACGAATACACACACACACACACACACATATATATATATATATATAGTAGTCAGCATTTGAAGTGGCTCAATGTATATATAATGTCATATATATAATGTCAATGAATAAGTGCTTATACAGGTACTTGAGCTTTATGATGGGACTAATGCAAAAGACACATTTTAAAAAGACATTATTCGACAATATGTAAATCAATGAGCAGCCAAGATGAGCAATTCAGTGCAATCAAAATCTATTCATACTGATTATTTGCACTGACAAAGGTCAAACCTAATCACAACCAATGATCTCTACATCATCTCTTTTATGGAAGGCAATGGTGTACTTCATTCTCAATTACAGTCTGTATGTGAATGTGTCAGGCATGTGTGATCTGTTGCCTGCTGGCTGAGTGATCAGTGTTTTTCTCATCTGTGTAATGGAGATGTGAAATTCTCTCAAATGTGCTTGTGTCCTGCAGCTGCCACAGCTCTATTTATAACCACAATCCTCTGCAATTAAAGGGACAGCTCACCAAAGAATGAAAATTATTTCATTATTTACTCACTCTTGCTTTATGACTTTCTTTATTCAGTGGAGAACAGAGATTCAGTGGAGAAACCAGATCTTTTGAAGAATGAATACTGATATAAGTGTTTACACAGATTTTTTAAAAAGCAAATTAATAATTTTATTCAGCAAAGATGCATTCAGTTGATCAGAAATTACATTTTAATTCTAAATAGATTTCTATTTCAAATGAATACTGTTAGTAATCGAAGAATCCTTTAAAAAAAAATCATGGTTTCTACAAAATAAATATTAAGCAGCACAACTCTTTTCAACATTGATAATAATAAGAAATGTTTCTTGAGCACTAAATCAGCATGTTAAAATGATTTCTGAAGGATCATGTGACACTGAATACTGGAGTAATGACTGCTGAAAATTCAGCTTTTGCATCACAGGAATATATTACATTTGAAAATATATTAAAATACAAAACAGATATTTTAAATTGTAATAATATTTAAAAGTATTACGGTTTCTGTTGCTATATATTTAATTAAATAAATGCAGGCTTGGTAGGCATAAGAGGCTTCTTTCAAAAACATTAAAAAAATGACCAACCCCTAATTTTCAAACAGTGATGTTTAGAGAGTAAATCTTCATTATCTTATTTGAAAAAGGGAATATCCACACTATAAAAAATATGCTGGGCTAAAAACAACCATTTCTTGGTTATTTGGCAACCCAGTGCTGGTAAAATATTTAAATATTGGACAGAACACATGCTGCTGGGTTATTTTGTCCCAGCTGGTTGGGTTAAATGTTTTTAACCAACATGCTGGGTTGTTTTATTTAACTCAGCTGTTGTTTAAAGATTGCTATACTGCTCTTTTAAAATGGGTTGGAAATTAGAAACCGAGGTCCCACTTTATATTAAGTGGCCTTAACTACTATGTACTTACATTTAAATTAATCATTTGGTACCACGCACTTATTGTGTTCATACATGTTTTTACATTGTACTTATATTTTAAAAATACCTGCATGTAATTACATATGTAATTATTTTCTGTAATTACATTTATAATGTTGACCCATCCCTTACACCTTAACCTACCCTTAAACCTACCCATACCACCAAACCAGTCCCTAACCTTACACTCTAAAAAATGCTGGGTTAAATACAACCCAGTGCTGGGTATAATAGGGACAAACCCAGCAATTGGGTTGTTTTGACCCAGCGGTTGGGTTAAATGTTTAACCCGACCTTCTGGGTAGTAACCCAACTGCTGGGTCAAAACAACCCAATTGCTGGGTTTGTCCCTATTATACCCAGCACTGGGTTGTGTTTAACCCAGCATTTTTTAGAGTGTACCTGTATCCCACCTCAATAGCAGCAGAAGTGTTTTGCAATATAATATGAACACAATAAGTACATTGTATTTATTTTTGATGTAAATACATAGTAGTTAAGGCCACCTAATACAAAGTGGGACTGAAATCGCATGCAGAATTACTACAGGCAACAGTTATAATCAAAAAGTGAACATCTATTAATAATCAAGAACACTCATGGACAAAAATATAAGAACAATTGAATTTATTTGGATGAATACAACATAGTTAACAATATTAAATTTAAACTAGATTAACAAGCATTTTAGAAATAAATGTAGCATAGAAATGTAAGGGGTGTATATAGTTTCAGCTGTCAGTGAGATTGACCCAGCCACTAACCCAATGGCTGGGTAACAAAACAAAAAAAACTACCCAACACTGAAAAAAAGAACCCAACATATGACCCAACAGGCTCAATCCAGCGGTTTGGTAGAAAAAATAGCCCAGCATTTTTTAGAATGCATGAGACAATCTTGTGTTATTTGTTGTGCATCAGTGACTCCATTTCACTGTCTGGAGTATATAATGATGATGATCATCATGATAATAACCTTTCATAAATCTCACACATTTACCAATGCTTGCACTTTGAAATGAGTTGTACTGTACTTTACTATATCACTTCTCTGAGACTTTTTTCATCATATTCAGGGAGAGTATGAGAGGTGAAGCCGGGGTTATTTCTATGGTTAATTTCGCTGTAAATTTCTTGAAGTGGAACGTAAAGAGGGGACACGGCCTCTGATCCTCAGCACCAAATGATAAAGAATCACTTTTCCAAGAGACACATTATTAAGCAGTGCTGGTATAGAGGGCTTAAAGTGGTTTTCCCAGCTATTACAGACGTATTTAGTTCCCATCGGAAATAAAGAATATGGAGAAACATGACTAAACAGATTGATACATCTCTCATTTGCTGACACATAATGAAATTCTAATAGGAGAACAGAACTTCCTATTAGACCGATGAGACAGAGGAAGATTTCCACCACACATTCAGTTATAAATCAGTTTGTTTGTTTGTTATTTATTTTTTGACAGACAAAATTATGCAGCTTTTTGCACTGAAATACCACACACTAAACAGTTTAGCGAACTTGTCATTTAATGTTGTACAGATAAGACAGACAAAAGCCGAGTTTTGTGTGTTAGGGCTTCTCTCATCCTGGCAGCTATACACAAAGTAAATAATTAACAGCTTTGAAAAGTCCATTAACAAGCTTAATGAGGGCCTCTGTGGTTGAGTTCCACCATCCCACGGTTGCTAAGACTTAAAGCCTGTTTTCAGAAACAGGATTATTTAGAAACATTAGTATGAGGAGAACTAGCATGACTGAACCTAAAATTACTTAATAAAGTGAATCTCCCCTGTGGCAAAAATAATGGATTTAGACCACGAGGTTGAACTTTGGTTCACAAACCCCTGTGGCTGTTCCGCTTGTGGATTGAATTTGTGATTTTCTTGAGGATTTCGAGTGAGCAGTGGTAAGAAGCGTTTGTAAGGGACCCAGATGATAGTTGTATTGCTCATACTGTATAGGTTCACTTTCAAAGCTCTGCATGTCATTGTGTTTCATTGAAGTACAGTATGTGCTTTTTCTGAGGTGTTCCTCCTAAAAACAGAAATAAACCGGCACAAATAGAATTAAAAGCTGATATACAAGAATATAGAGGTGCAATATGAAATTTGTGTGAATAGCATAGCCAGGGTAATTGGCAGAAATTGATGAAAAATATTCGAGTTTGTTGGAATTTCTGACTTTTGATTGTACACTCCTGTGCAAATCCGAGCACAGAAGTCTTGCTGAGATCTCTTCTGTCAGAAATATTTAATACCACTCAATCAATCTAAATAAACTATTTATACCAACAAAACCAAATTGTATTGGTTAAATAAAGTAAATAGCTCTTTAAGGTAAACAGTTGCAGGTGATTGCTTTTTACAGTGCAAAAAAAAAAACTCAAGTAATTAATTTCAAATTACTGTAAAAAGTAATTTTAAAGGCTATACGTGAATTTATCATCACAGCATTATATTGTATGAAAAATGGAGATTCATTTTTTGGCTAAAGATCACTTAAACTGTTATTAAATTATTGCTGTTTAAATTGACACTTTCATGGCAAATTATAACTATTTTGCATTTTGGCAAATTGGTATGAATTTATACATTCTCATTTGTACGTATTCATACGATCTGCTTACGCCCTTCTGATGGTCAAGTACAGAGAACTTCACACTTATTTATTTATTTAATTAATTTTTCTAAAAACTGTACAAGTTTAAACAAACTTGCCAAAATACAGTTCACCAGAAAGTCAAATAATTTCACAAGGAAACATCCATTAGTATTTTTTGTTACATTTTCTCATGAGATTGGATTGGTTTTAAAGATTAACTTTAAGTGAGCGTTAGATGACGGCAAAGGTAATATAAATGTTCAAATAAGGGAAATTAGCATGCACAATAAATACAATTAAATGAAAGAATCTGCACTTTGGGCCGATAACCAATATGTTATCGATATACACGTATCACGGTTCCCTCATTTTAAAGAGATTTTACATTTACTGAGAATCTCAATTAATGCTTTTTTCTGATTTATAAATTCTTAGGTGAATTAATTCTTAGATCTTTCAGAAATGCAAAATCCCATGATGGTCTTGATTGATGATTGATCTTGGGTAATGATCTGTGTGTGAGAGAGAGATCGATGCAGGTGTGGATAAATGCAACTGTAATTGATTTTAGGCTTTGTGTGATTGGATTAGTGCATTGCTTGTGTGAGAGGCTGTATTGATTATTCAGAGCTCTGAATGATACACAAGTTAATAATCCTGTAAATTCCAATTAGAGAAGCACACCAGTTACCACAAGATATCGTAGACTAGGAAAGGCAATAAACACAGGCATGGAAAGCTCATATCTAGTTTGAACTCAGTTGACTTTCAGAAGCAAAACTTTCCAATAAACGAAAGACCAGAAACCATATATATATATATATATATATATATATATATACAAAGAGGTAGGCATCATTTCAGGTTGTTATGGAGAAATCCATCAGTATGCATCTCAGACATATGGTGGTATATACTGTAGACCTATACTACGTTAGAAGGATTATTGAACAATGACGTCTTACCAATCTAATTTTAAGTTATCAGTTCTGCACAGAAGATTGTTTTCATCATATCTTTTCGCACCTAGTTTGTGATGGTGGGGTGTGGAATTTTAAGAAACACTCTGCAGATGTTTTATTCTGTCTCAGACTGAGTAGCTGTTCCCTTGAGGAACGACATCCCGAGGGATGTTCAAATGCGGTGTGAAACGTTACTTTAAACTTTTCAAAGCTGCCTATATAGACTGAATTTTAGCTGCCATATGTGAGCTGATATGAAGCATATGGCAGCTGCTTCAAAATGAAGTAAATTGAAAGATACCTCATTTTTGCCTAAATTTGAGGTAGCATCACATGCCTTTGTGGAATAGGTAATCCCGCCGTATACTGCAGCAGGCTCAGCAAAAAAAAAAGTTGACAGAGCTGAAGAAAATATTCTTTATGAATGTCACTACTTTTATATTCACTAATGAAAAGTGTCATTTTTTTATACATTTTATTATTTTCTTATATGTTTTTTTATTTCATTATTTGTTTAAGTCATTATTTTTTGTGTTTCAGAAATGTTCTGTTGCTTTTTATTTTTCTCATGTTAATGCTCATATTTGTAACACATTTTCTGACTCAATAAACAAGGTCAGAAATTCAGAAACTGCAGGAAAATAACAATTTAAATCTGCTTAAATAAGAAAATGTTTTCTGTGTTAATGAAGTGTTGACTAGCAACAAAATTAGTTTGTTTTGAGAAACTGAAAAATATTTGCTAATTAATGTCTGTTAGCATTTATGCATCTGCAGAAGCACACTAGTTTTAGTGAGTTACAGTAGACTGGCATTATATATATAGCTCAGTCAACACCTGTCTGTTTTCTTTTAACACACATGCTGTTGTTAGATAAAAGGATGAATGGATGGACGGATGGACAGACAGACAGACTCCCTTGTCAGGCATACTTACAGTATCTTCTAAAGACGTGAAAGTATGTCTGAAGCAGTTATGCGTCCATATTGAGTCATTCATGTCAGAATACATATTTATAGATTTCGTCTACTGGAACTGAAGCTGAAAAAAAAAATCTGCAATATTAAATGTCTAAGTTTAAATCAGCTCTCAAGAGAGGAACCTGCTCGGAAGATATGAGCTCTGAGGAATGATTAATGAGATTCAAAGTGGTTGAAGTGCAAAGTGTTTAATATTCTTCACATGCATCTCAAATGCTGTTTTCACTTAAACCAGGGTTGTTTATTAGACAAAAATGAAATGAGGAAAGATAAATTAACTTAATCATAATATAACAAAGCTGCAACCATATGAAATGTATAAAAAGGTAGAGATTTTGCTAAAGATATTCTTTATATTTTCTTTATAACCAAAATTAAAGGTCAATCGAAATTGGTTTTTACAGATAACGATAACCACTGTAGGTTGGACTGCACTGACTGATAACCGATACTCAAGCTGGCCAGCCATTGACATTTTTTTAGATCTGCTTGACAGCACAATCTGAATCTTAATGACTTTATAATGATATGAAAACATACTCTGTTTTAAATCCACATCTGAAGTGGCCTGCTCTGTGCAGCATACTGTATCATGTGTCAGAACAAACTCCAGCAATCGGTTATTGGTGCCGATTAATCGGCAAAAAAACCATCAATCGTTCAACCTCTAAAATACCCCTGAAACAGAGAGATTGTAGGTTTGTTAGAAGTGTATATTGGGATTGTGTCATCCAATAATGAGTCTATTGATTTGATTGACCTGCATTAGTGGATGTAACAGAGGTTTAGAGTTTAGATGGTTTATGATTAATTAGGGAGAAAATCACCTTGTGAGTCCAGAAAGAAACAGAGGAGGGGGGTAAAGACAGAGTGAAAGAGACGTTTAATGGACTTGGGACATGATTATTGATTAGCTACCCTGCAGCTAAATTAATTTTTCCAATCTAGCATTAATTAACAGAAATTCCCCAGTGAGAGCAGCATGTGTAAGTGGAATGAGAGAGCCTCTGTACTGAATTGGGGATTTACACACACACACACACACAAATATACATATCTTTCTTCATTGGAAGAAAAAGAGAGAGGGACAACAGATAGAAAAGTGGCGATATGTTTTTATTTTTTGACACTTTTATTGTTTCATTTGTGGGTCATTCCCAAAATATGGTGACATACAAAATGTTTGGATCCAGTTTTCTTCCAATTATTGTTAATTGCTTATATTGTTTTGCTTTTTAAACACTTGTTGCACTAATGCTTTAGTAAAATAAAATGAGTAAAAAAATTATTTTAAAAATTCAACAAATTTATTATTATTTTTATTGAATAAAAATAAAAAAATGTGACATGGAATTTTTTAAGCACTTGCATAATATGCAAAACAAAATATATGGAATAATTTTCATTATTTAAGTGATAGTTCACCCAAAAATGAAAATTCTGTAATTGATCACTCACCCTGTTGTTCCTAACCCATAAGACCTTCGTTCATCTTCGGAACTCAAATTAAGATATTTTTGATGAAATTAAAACTATCCCTTTAAAAATCAAGAGACTTGTTACAATATTTTGAAAATGACCCTTAATCATCTTCAGAGCCTGAAAGTCTGACTAAGTGATTCTCCTATAAACATTTCACTCTGAAAGAATGAACCCAAGCCTAGTGACACTTACAAAACACACTTCACAGGCAAACACGAGACAGTACAGACAGAGTTACGGTGTCACTGAGAGTTCATCTCTGTCACTGCAGCCCGGTTACGCCCCTCGCTGTGTTCATCAATAGCTTTTAATTAGTGAGAGTGATTAGAATATGTCTGAGCGAAAAAGAGGGTGAAGCTACTAATTTATCACTCTAGCATGCAGATCAATCACAGTGAGAGTGATTAGTGTTCCTGTCATCCTTCATTATTCTGCTGAGAATTTCTCATTAATCGATCACATCCCCCCTAAAAAGCCTCCACAAAAGAGGTCAGATCTGATGCCCAGGACCCGACCCCACAGGGGAGGGGGAATGGAGAGAAAGAAAAGGAAAGAAGAGAGATAATCAGCATGTCTTTTGTATTTGAAATGAGACGTCACGTTCAGCTGCAATAAGCAGGATATTGAGTGATGTGTGTTCAGTTGAGCCTGTGACTTACTGCTGTCTCGCATGCACAGGTGATCAATCTCTGAAACATCACTGATCACTAAAACTCATGCTCTTTATGAGAAATGAGCTTTAAATGTCACCTTATCTATCTATCTATCTATCTATCTATCTATCTATCTATCTGATCTCTGAAAGATCACTAAAACTCATGCTCTTTATGAGAAATGAGCTTTAAATGTCACCTTATCTATCTACTATCTATTCTATCTATCTATCTATCTATCTGTCTTCTGTCTGTCTGTCTGTCTGTCTATCTATCTATCTATCTATCTGTCTATCTATCTGTCTGTCTATC